TTATCCACCTTGCCATTCTGTGTCTTTTAGTTGGGACATTTAGCCCATTTACATTTAAGGTTACTATAGTTATGTATGAATTGGATCCTGTCATTATAATGTGAGCTGGTTATTTTGCAGACTTGTTGAGGTAGTTGCTTCATAATGTCATTGGTCTTTGTATTTCAGTGTTTGTAGTAGCTGATAATGGTTTTTCCTTTCCATATTTAGTGCTGCCTTCAGTAACTCCTGCAAGGCAGGCCTGGTGGTGATGAATCCCCTCAGCATTTACTTGTCTGAAAAGGATTTTATTTCTCCTTCACTTATGAAGTTTAGTTTGGCCAGATAGGAAATACTGGGTTGCAAACTTGTTTCTATAAGAGTATTGAATATTGGCCCCAATCTCTTCTGGCTTGTAGGGTTTCTGTTGAGAGGTCCATTGTTAGTCTGATGGGTTTTTCTTTGTAGGTGACCTGGCCTTTCTCCCTGACTTCCCTTAATTTTTTTTGTTTCTTTGGTTTTTTTTTTGAGACAGAGTCTTGCTCTCTCACCCAGGCGGGAGTGCAGTGGTGCGATCTCGGCTCATTGCAACCTCTGCTTTCCAGGTTCAAACAATTCTCCTTCCTTAGCCTCCTGAGGCATAGTGGCTCATACCTGTAATCTTAGCACTGTGGGAGGCAAAGGCTTCACGTGAAGTCAGGAGTTTGAGACCGGCCTGGCCAACATGGTGAAACCCCATTTCTACTAAAAACACAAAAATTAGCCAAGTGTGGTGGCACATGCCTGTAATCCCTGGCCTTAATTCATTTTGACCTCGGAGAATTTGATGATTATGTGTCGTAGGGTTGATCTTGTCATGAAATAGCTTATTAGAGTTCTCTGGATTTCCTGAATTTGAATGTTGTCCTGTCTTCCTAGGTTGGAGAGGTTCTTCTGGATGATATCCTGAATTATGTTTTCCAACTTGATTCCATTCTCCACATCTCTTTTAGGTACCCCAATCAGTCATAAATTCAGTCTTTTTACATAATCCTATATTAAGTAAAATAATATTAGGATTAATGTTTTGTTCCTTCCTCTTCATTTTTTTCCTCTAATTTTGTCTGCCTGTCTTATTTCAGCAAGATAGTCTTCAAGCTCAGAAATTCTTTCTTCTGGTTGGTCTGTTTGGCTATTGATACTTGTTGTTGCATTGTGAAGTTCTTGTATTGCGTTTTTCAGCACTATCTGGTCATTTATGTAGCTCCCTAAACTGGTTATTCTGGTTAACAGCTCCTGTAATGTTTTATCATGGTTCTTAGCTTCTTTGCATCAGGTTAGAACATGCTCCTTTAGCTCAGTGAAATGTGTTATTATCAACCTTCTGAAGCCTACTTCCACCAGTTCATCCATCTCAGCCTCAGCCCAGTTCTGTGTCCTTGCTGGGGACCTGTTGTGATCATTTAGAAAAGAGGCACTCTGGTTTTTTGAGTTTTTCAGCATTTTTTGACTGATACTTTCTCATCCTCATGAATTTATCTTGTTTTGGTCTTTGAGGCTGCTCACATTTGAATGGAGTTTTTGTGGGAGTTTTTTTGTTGATGCTGTTGTTGTTGTTGTTCCTTTGCTTGCTTTTCTTTTAACAGTCAGGCCCCTCTGCTGTAGGGCTACTGCAGTTTGCCAGACCCTATTCACCTGAGTCCCTCCTGCTCCTGGAGGTGTTACCAAGTGGAGGCTGCAGAACAGCAAAGGTGGCTGCCTGCTCTTTCCTCTAGGGAGCTCCATCTCGAAGGAACACTGACCTGATGCCAGCAGGAATGGGTCCATATAAGGTGTCTGCTGACCCCTGTTGGGGAGTCTCACCCAGTCAGGAAGCACAGGATCAGTGCTTAACAAAAAACTCACTTAACAAAGCACTCTGGCTGACTTTGGGCAGAAGGAGTGTGCTGCACTGGGGGGAATCCCACTCATCCAGACTGCCCGGATTCCTCAGAGCCAGCCAGGGAAGAGACCAAGTCCACTATTCTGTGGATACCACAGCTGCCATTCCCCATGAAGGGCTCCATCCCAGGAACATCCAACCCCTAGCTGGTGTTGCTGAAATTCCAGAGGGAGGCTCTGCCTGGTGAGGAGTGATGGGTCTGGGTTCAGTGTAAAGAGGCAGTCTGGCCACGATCTGCCACAGCCGCTGTGCTGCACTGTGGGGACTTCCTCCTGGGTCTGAACTGCTGGCACCAGCGGGGAAAATGGCAGACTGGAGCTCCAGTGATGGTGGCCACACCTCCCCTTAGGAGCTCGGTAGTCTTAGGCAGTCTCCAGTTTAGCCACTGCCAAGAATCTATACAGCTTAAAACCCAAGGCCCTGGTGGTGTGGGCTCACGATGGGATCTCCTGGTCTGTGGGTTGCAAAGATCCATGGAGAAAGCGTGGTTTCGCAGGTAGGGCAGCACAATCACTCACCGCGTCTTTTGGCTGAGGGTGAGAGGTCCCCTTGCTCCGTGCTGCTCCTGGGTGGGCAGTCGCTCCACCCTGCTTTTCCTCACTCTCCGTGGACTGCCTAGTCAGTTCCACTCAGGGAACCTGGATACCTCAGTGGTTGGTGCAGGATTCACTCACCGTTTTCAGTCTCCTTGGTGGAGATCTCTGACCACAGCTGTTTCTAATTGGCCATTTTGGCTCCTCCCCAGATTTATTGCTTTTATTTGAAGAGTACAATTTCATATGTTGGTCACAAATTTTTACAGGCACCTCAAACTGGGGTCATTATCTTTCTCTAACCTGCTTCTCCCCTAGTTCCCTGCCTCAGTGGGAGGCAGCAATCCCCCATCAAGCCAGCTATTGGGGCACTATGTTGAGTACCTTCTTCCTCCCCACCCCTTATAACTGATCATTTGCCAAGTGGGCAATTCTACACACTTGTTATCACTACCACAAAGCTAGTTCAGGCAGCTGTTCTCTCTCCCCTAAGATACTGCGGCAACTTTTCAGCTGCTCACCTCACAGCTACTCGTGTACCCTGAATACATCCTCCCTGGTGCACCCAGAGTGGCCTTTACACATCTGACCACATTCCTATTGGGCTTCAGTAGGGTAAAGCCCAAGCTCCTGGGCACAACCTGCAAAGTCCTTTTTTAGCACCTGCCCCACTGCACTGTCAGATCCTTTAGAACGCTTTGTCTTATTTCTCTTTATAGCTTTTGTGATCAGCCAGAAACTCACTCATTGTTACATAAGTGGATAAAGTGTTTAAAAATCAAAACAATGTTTGATCTTTTGAGAAAACTGGAAAATTTAAACTCATAGACTTAAACTATCAAACAGCAGAGACAAGTCAGGACCCTGCTGACCCCAAGTCTGCCCTTTCATAACTGGCAGAGAGTTGGCCAAGTATGCATGGCCTCACCCACGGCTCCTGGCTCTGACCTTCCTTTGGATGTGGAATTGAGTCCTAGAGTGAGTCCCTGGGCTCTTTCTAGAAATTGCCATCTTTCTCTGGAGTGGCACACTTAAACCATGTGGCTGCTCAAGAAAGCCAGCGCTAATTTTTAGAGAAACCATCCTCAGAAATGCACCTTCCAGTGAAAGACTTGTCCAGAAATCATGGAACTGGCCAATCACACAAGCCCTGCTCTCACATAAGCTTTCTTTTCAATCACAGGGGTATCTTCCAATGTTTGCCAAAGAGAAAATGTTCATGGCCTGATTTCTGGCACAAGTGTAACTGCCCAAGGGTTCGACTTGCCCACTGCCTAGACAGAGCCAATTTATCAAGACAGGGGAATTGCAATAGAGAAAAAGTAATTCACACTGAGCTGGCTATGCAGGAGACCAGAGTTTTATTATTATTCAAATCAGTCTCTCCAAAAACTCAGGGATCAGGGTTTTTAAGGATAATTTGGTGGGTAGAGGGCCAGTGAATCAGAAGTGATAATTGGTTGGCTCAGGGATGAAATCATAGGGAATTGAAGCTGTTCTCTTATGCTGAGTGGCTTCTGCAGAATTGCTTGGTAGGTCCAGGTGTGGCCATCCAGTTATTAGAAATGTGAAAACCTGAAAAGACATCTCAAAAGGCCCATCTTAGGTTCACAATAGTGATGTTACCTTTAAGAGTAATTGGGGATGTTGTGAATCTTATGACCTCTGGACTAATGGCTGATAACATTTAGAATTCCAGCCCCTCTCATTCTAACTTGGTGGCTGGTGGCCTTTCATTTGTTTTACAAAAACAGTTTAGCTTTGGGAAAGTGTTCTTTGTTAAATTATAAATTAAGTTCCTTCGCAAGGTTAGTTTGGTCTATGCCCAGGAATGGATAAGAACAGTTGAGAGGTTAGAAGCAAGATGGAATTGGTTAGGTCTGATATCTTTCACTGCCATAATTTCCTTAGTTACAATTTTGCAAAGGTGGTTTCACAAGGATTGTGCCACATTGGCAGATGTGATCTTTCACTGGACAAGGTACTTAACATCTCTGAGGCTTAGTTTACTCATCTTTAAATGGGAATAAAAGTAAGTCTCTCACAAGGTTATTGTGAGGACTAATGAGATGAAGTGTATATTAGCATTATATTGGAAAGGTTTTCTGAATGTCACCTATGGTCCTTTTTTTGCATGATGTTTTAAAGCAAGATTTTAGGGAGCAGTGAAAACACCTGCCAAATTGTAAGATAAAAATAAGGAAACAAGAAAACCAGGGTCAAGAGGGACATTGTGTCATCTCAGAGAATCACGAGGACTTTATGTTCCTTATATCATATGCCAACTTGGCCATTCATTCATTTATTCATTCAGCACTTAACTCTGAGCAGCTCTTCAGCATGGTAGCATGTAAAAACAAGCAAAAGAGTTTGTGCCTCAACCTAGAAAGAAGAGCCTGAAGATGTCCAACTAAAACTCACTGCAGCAGGAACTACAAGAGACAGTGGAGGGCGTGCCTGCCAGGGCTTGCAGGGAGGCCACGTGTAGTAGGCCTGGTCTGTGATGAGCTGCGTTTACAGTTATTTTCCCATCCTGATGACATATCTGCTTTGTGTTCACATTTTAGCAATCATCTTGGTAGCTAAATGTGACAAACCAAGAAGATGGCCAAGATCAACACCCAATACTCCCACCCCTCCCGGACCAACCTCAGGGTAAAGACCTCAGACCAAGATCTCAATCGTGCTGAAAATGGCCTCCCCAGGTAAGATGGGCTTTTCATTTTATGCCTGGCTCTGGTCTTTTCCATAGTTCATCTAGACTGTGGGGGAAGAACACATTCACACTGGCTAGCCACAGGTTGGAGGGCAAAGGAGGTATTCACAGAGCTATCAACTTCATTTTTCATCTCACTTAATCCTCACAACCTCCAGAAAGTAGTCTTTATTCTTGTTTTAGAGATGTGGAAAGGAGGCTTAACTAGTTACTTAATTGCTATAAGGTAAAGAAAATGAAGATTCAAATTCAGCAGACTAAATTTTACCGTAAAAACTTCCTCAAACTGACACACTGTCCCATGTATTCATCAAAAATGCATTGGACTCTGGTTGTGCACCAGCCACTGAACTGGGCTTGCAGTCTGAGCTGGGCACCTAGGATGTAGCATGAATCAGATGCCCTTCCCTTGTTTCCAGGGGAAGGTCTGCAGGCAGGCCATGCCCAGGGCCTATAGAGGAAGTGGGTAGTGCCTTACCAGCCAAGCCATCAACCCCATCAATGACATCCTGACACAGGTAGGAAATAGAAATCTGGGGCCTTGAGCTCTACTTCTATACCTGTTCCTTACTTACTAGTAGACCTGGGAAAACACATGTAACCACTCCATGCCTCAGTTTCTTCACCTGCAGAATGGAACAACATTTTTTCCAAGCTCCTGGTATAACAGTGAGGACACCAGAAAGGACCTATTTAGTGTGCATGGACCCTATGTTTCTTTGTTTTGGGTTTTTTGTTTGTTTCTTTTGTTTGTTTTGAGACAGAATCCCACACTGTTGCCCAGGCTGGCACGCAATCTCGGCTCACTGAGACCTCCACCTCCTGGGTTCAAGCAATTCACCTGCCTCAGCCTCCCGAGTAGCTAGGATTATGGGTGCCTGCCGCCATGCCCTGCTAATTTTTATATTTTTAGTAGAGATGGGGTTTCACCATGTTGGCCAGGCTGATCTCAAACTTCTGAGCTCAAGTGATCCACCAGCCTTGGCCTCCCATAGTGCTGGGATTTTGGGTGTGAGCCACTGCGCCCAGCCATGTTTTTTACATTCTCATTGAGATGATTGAGTTAAACCATGAGCAACTCTCTTTCCAATATTTTTGTTATTTTCACCCTGCACATATAGAATTGAAAACTTCTCCCCACGACGCAGCTTAAAAGCATATCTGATGGCCCAAAATGCAAAATGGCCCCTCAGTCCCAGCACTGGGCTTCTCACACATTTTTGTTCATCACTTCCTCTCCCAAATGCACATTTGTTTTTTTCTCTGTCTACATTCTTGGCCTCAGCTACTCAGCAAACTCTGCTAACAAGTGATGGTCAAATAATTTCCAAAGAGATTGAGTCCCCTTATGGCAAACCCATGCAGCCCTTGAACCCTACCTTCTGAGATTTCAGCAAAGAAAGGAAGATTCCAGAGCATCCCAACAGCTATTTATTTCTTCCAACCATTTTAACTTGGTATTGGGGCCCCAGGAAGTGTGATATAGCTTCAGAGGCATCAGAAAATTCCATCCTACTCAAATACGTTTCTCCTAGCTGGCTGTCTGTCAATGCCTGTGTCCCACCACTGAGGACTTAGTCTTCTAGGTTAAGGCATAGCTCCTTATTTATAAGAACAAATAACACTATTAGAACTGTTATCCACTCTTGAAACATTTGTATGTTTTAATAATTTCTTTCCCATGTGTGAGCTAATAAAGCCCCTTGAAAGGGGCTTCAAAAGAGGGTTGAGCATCAGGGAGAAGGAGCCCAAGGATGGGGCACAGCTTCATGTCAGGATCCTGGGGCAGAAAATCCCGAGATGGCTGAATAAGAGAATCGGAGATGCAGAAGCCGAGTGGTCTCCACAATTCCAAATGAGGTACCAGGTTCATTTTGTGGGTCTGATTAGACAGTGGATATAAACCAAATAAGGCAAGTTGAGGCAAGGTGGGGCATTGCCCCACAAAGGATGTGCACGCAACCAACTGGAGGACCGGGGGATCTCCCCCTCTGGGACTTCGGTTCAGGTACAGAGCTCCACCAAGCCCTCTACAACCCACAGAATAGGAGATCTTTGTGGGGCTGAAAAGCTTCAGTGAGCTGCATCAACAGGGCAGAACAGCAACTTCAGCCAGCACTGGGGCTGTCAGCATAGATCTAGGCGGAAACACTGGCTGACACCGAGAAAGCCAAAAGCCGATGGGCAGAGCTACCCACCTGCCAGTAACAAGGGAAATTGAATGCAGGGAAACAGCCCAAGTGGCAGGATGGCCCCCTCTCCTGCCCTGCATAAAGCCCAGCAGCCTAAAAAACTCTCACTCCAGAGTTACGCACCCAGAACATCAGTTAGAAAGCGACCAGAAATGATTGCGCTTGGCAGGGGGAAGGGAAGCCACCATTACAGAAGCTGGCCTAATTTTCCTGAGTAAATAAAAGGCACAGCAGCTCCACTGAATCTGTGGCAGTCCAGCAGCACCTCTGCAGGTGGACAAAGGAAAGGCCTCCTCCCCAAGCAGCTACCTGAGATCAAAACTATATAAATCCAAGAGATGGGAAGAAACCAGCCCAAGAAGAATGAAACCATCACAAACCAGAACGTCTCTCCCCTACCATGAGATCACAACACCTCACCAGCTAGCGAACAAAGCAAGACAGAGAAGGAATTTGATGAATTGACAGAAGCAGGCTTCAGAAGGTGGGTAATAACAAACTTCTCTGAGTTAAAGGAACATGTTCTATCCCAATACAAAGAAACTAAAAACCTTGAAAAACGGTTAGAAGAAATGCTAACTATAACAACCAGCTTAGAGAAGAATATAAACGACTTGATGAAGCTGAAAAACACAGCACAAGAACTTCCTGAAGCATGCACAAGCTTCAATAGCCATATAGATCAAGCAGAAGAAAGGATATCAGAGACTGAAGATCAATTCAGTGAAATGAAACAAGAAGGCAAGAAAAGAGAACAAAAAGTGAAAGGAAATGAACAAAGCCTTCATGAAATATGGGATTATGTGAAAGACCTAATCTATGCCTGATCAGTAGATGATGGGGAGAATAAATACTAGAAGATGATGGGGAGAGTGAATCCAAGCTGGAAAACACTCTTCAGGATATTATCCAGGAGAACCTCCCCAATCTAGCAAGGCAGGCCAACATTTAGGTACAGGAAATACAGAGAACACCACAATGATACTCCTCTAGAAGAGCAACCCCAAGGCACATAATCATCAGGTTCACCAGGATTGAAACGAAGGAAAAAATACTAAGGGCAGCCAGAGAGAAAGGTCAGGTCACCCACAAAGGGAAGCATACCAGACTCACGGGATCTCTTAGCAGAAACCCTACAAGCCAGAAGAGAGTGGGGGGTCAATTTTCAACATCCTTAAAGAAAAGAATTTTCAACCCAGAATTTCATATCCAGCCAAACTAAGCTTCATAAGTGATGGAGAAATAAAATTCTTTACAGACAAGCAATTGCTAAGAAATTTTGTCACTACCGGAGCTGCCCTACAAGAGCTCCTGAAGGAAGCACTAGACATGGAAAGGAAAAACCAGCATCAGCCACTGCAAAAAAGAACCAAATGGTAAAGATCAATGATGCAATGAAGAAATTTTGCCAACCAATGGGCAAAGCAACCAACCAGTAATAAAATGGCAGATTCAAATTCATACATAACAATATAATATTAAATGTAAACGGACTAAATGCCTCAATCAAAAGACATAGACTGTCAAATCAGATAAAAAACCAAGAACCATCAGTGTGCTATATTCAGGAGATCTATCTCACGTGCAAAGACACACATAGACTCAAAATAAAGGGATGAAAGAAGATTTACCAAGCAAATGGCAAGCAAAAAAAAAAAAAGCAAGAGTGGCAATTCTAGTCTCTGATAAAACGGACTTTAAACCAACAAAAATCAAAAGAGACAAAGAAGGGCATTACATAATGGTAAAAGGATCAATACAACAAGAAGAGCTAACTATTCTAAATATATATGCACCCAATACAGGAGCACCCAGATACATAAAGCAAGTCCTTAACAACCTACAAAGAGACTTAGACTCCCATACAATAATAGTGGGAGACTTTAACACTCCACTGTCAATGTTAGACAGATCAACGAGACAGAAAATCAATAAGAAAATCCCAGACTTGAATGCAGATCTGGACCAAGCAAACCTCATAGACATTTACAGAATTCTTAACCCCAAATCCACAGAATATACATTCTTCTCAGCACCACATCACATTTACTCTAAAATTGACCACATAATTGGAAGTAAATCACTTCTCAGCAAATGGAAAAGAATAGAAATCATAACAGTCTCTCAGACTACAGTGTAATCAAATTAGAACTCAGGATTAAGAAACTAACTCAAAACCACACAACTTCATGGAAAATGAACAACTGGCTCCTGAATGTAGACTGGATAAGCAATGAAATGAAGGCAGAAATAAAGATGTTCTTCAAAACCAATGAAAACAAAGACACAACATACCAGAATCTCTTGTACACATTTAAAGCAGTGTCTACAAGGATATTCATAGCAATAAATGCCCATATGAGGAGCAGGGAAATGTCTAAAATTGACACTGTATCATCAAAATTGAAAGAGTTAGAAGAGCAAGATCAAAAAAACTCAGAAGACAAGAAATAACTAAGATCAAAGCAGAACTGAAGGAGACAGAGACAGAAAAAAACCCTTCAAAAAATCAACAAGTCCAGGAGCCTGTTTTTTTTAAAAGATCAACAAAATAGACTGCTAGCCAGATTAAGTAAAAGAAAAAGAGAGAAAGAGAGAGAGAGAGAAGAATCAAATAGATGCAATAAAAAATGATAAAGGATACATCACTACCGACTCCACAGAAATACAAACTACCATCAGAGATTACTACAAACAACTCTATGCACACAAACCAGTAAATCTGGAAGAAATGGATAAATTCCTGGACACTTGCACTCTCGCAAGATAAACCAGGAAGAAGTTGAATCCCTGAATA